TTTTTTTTTTTTTTTTTTTTTTTTTTTTTGGAGAGTGGAACATTACAGTGTCTGAGTAAGAAAGGTTGGAACCTGAGGACAGGATGGGTTCCCTGACAATCATCCCAGCATCCAGGCATGTTTCCAGGGGCAATCAGTGGTTTACAGAGACACTGAAATACTCATTGGCTCTACACTGACCTTATCTCTTTCGTGTCTTTTTCGAATTCCTTCGAAGAGGGGTGTGGGATGCCAGGAAGGCTGTGGACAGAACCACTTGCAAATGTCCCGTAAGTACCAGGATGCTGGTACTTCACTGGGGACCACGTGCTCCTCCACATGCAGGTGGATGCCTGGAGCATGTGCGTAACTAGATATTCTCATGTTATCTGGGCATGCATCCTTGCAGTTCTTGGTTAGTGTTGAGTTCAAAGCTGACTCGACCTCAGTGTCCTTTTTTCTGGTATAGATTGGCAGTTAATAGTGAACCTCTGATGTTCCCCCCTCATTTGGCAACTGTGTTGTTCCGTACCTTTCAGCTGTTGTGAAGGAGTGGCAGGTTCTATTGCCTCCCTGCCAGCAGATCTTACTAGGCACAGTAGGAGAACAAATGGGTCACATAACCTTGAGTACATAGGTAAAAAGTGAATGTGTCCCTTGGCCATCCTGTCCCCGTCCCTCGAGTCTTATGCCATTGTAGTTGCTGTGCGTGTGCATTTTACATATTGAGGCAAAATGAATGATGAACTGGTGAACACAGAGGGACTGATTTATGCTGGCTTCTTGCATTTCTTAAGAGTCCTTTCCAGGCAAGAGTAAGTCGAGATGTGTTTGCGGATGTCTACTTAGTCCAAAATAAACTCTCAAATCATACTTGTCTTATGAATTGTTCTAATTATCCAGGTAGAGTCTATCTGTAACTTAAGCATGGTTATATGCAAGGAAATTCTGAGATACTAATATTTATATTAAACATAATTTTAATGTTTTTTATGGTATCAGGAGAATATATTGATCCAGAAAACTATAACCCTTGTTATAGTTAGAAATGAGAATTACATCCCTTACAACCCTGCAGTATAGCAATATTATTGATTTTCACATTGTAGTACATGTCAAAGCAAACTAGAAGAAAAATTATAATTTTCAACTTTAATGAAATGAAACCTGTCTCAAGATAGTTACTTATCTAAACATTGCACGATGCTTATATACAAGCTCATATTTCATGTTACTTTATCATTATGTTGTATTTGTATGTTTTTTGTTTCAGTTTTAGTTATTATTGGCAACATCCTTTCTTACAAGAAAAGGGAGAATTGTTTTTTTAAATAATCAAAATGGCTCCAGTTTTCACTTGAGTGATAGATTATTACTCGTCTTACCTGTTTTTCTGTGTTCCCATGCTGTCCCTTCAATAAAGAAAGCAGGAAGCTTGGCTCACACTACAATTTAAAATGTAAATCAATTTGATTCAAATGTATATGTTGGGGGGGCGGGATTTAGCTCTGTGGTTCCGCACCTGCTTCCCAAGCACAAGTACCGGAGTTCGATCCCTGGTACCAAAAAACAAACAAAAAAACAAATGTATATGTTCCTTCCGTTAGTTTTTATATAATCATTTCCAGTTTCAGGAGAAAAACACTAACGCCATGAAGTATTTACCCATTATGATAGAGCTTTTATTTTGAGTCATTACTTTGGTTTGTGTTCTATTAGATTTTTATGCACATATATTTCTCGTGATATTTAATGCCTGTTTGTGTGTAGATTGCAGATATTCTCCTTTACTGCGGCATGCCTGCAGAGTTATTGAGTGTTCTGTCCCTACCTCCTGCTGTGGTTTTAATTTCCATGCTATTACTTAATGTTGTCCAAACTTACTTTACTTTAAAAACCCAACTGGGTACACGACAGAATCAATTGGAAGCTAATCATAAGAAATGAGGGAGACTTTCCACATTAGGAATAAAGAACAGATGCACAAATTGCTATTAAAGGCTCCTTGCAGTAAACTGTATTGAACCATTTAAGCAGAAAGTGGAGAGGACGTGTACGACCTGTCATGATAGGTATGTTTGCTTCTTTCATGAAGAATGGTGGGATGGAATAGATTTGTCTAGAAGTTACTTTATCTTGTGATTTACCTCAGAGGCCTTGAAACTTTTCTCTTCATTATTCAAGAATATCTTGGTGGCCAGCACTTTGTTTATATGATGGAATAAGTTGTCGTAAGAGATACATATCGAAAAAAATAAGTCCTTGAATAACACTAACTTTGATTTGTAAGGCAATTTTTGGAAAAAATTATATTCTCTATTATTTAATTTGGATAAAATTGTTACGGGATTATTTTCAAAGCCATTCCACAATTCCACATTTCTCTGGCCCTCTGAAATGACTGCTTTCTTTCCTTTCTGTCCCTGTCTCTCTTGCTCTCTCCTCTCTCCTTCCTTCCTTCTTTTTTCACTGTGGCATACTTAGGATTGAATCCAAGGCCTTCACACTGAGCTACATTCCTTAGCCCTTTTTTATTTGTATGACAGTGTAGCAGTCAGTGATCACTGAGACAGATTTAATGTAAGATAGATAGATATATAAGGATTTATAAGATAGATTTACAGTGGCTACCAACAGAGTGAGGTGTGGAAGAGGGCTGTCTGCATTGGAGATCCAAAGGATCAGTCAGAGGCTTGGAGCTCAGTGCAGAGTCCCAAGTGGCTGAAGTATCTGTGCTGTGGAAGCCAGGGGACTATGTCCAAGAGGAGGGTGAAGATGAGCTCCTTCAGAGGAACAGAAGTGAGCCTTCCTTCTTTGCTTCACTTTTATTCCATTCAGGTGACAAGCCTATTGGTGCCACTTACACCCAGGGTGGGTCTTGTCTTCAATAAATCCCTTCAACCACACCTAGAACTGTGCTGATACAGTATAGTTGAGAGCAGGGCTGGGGATGGAGCTCAGTGGCACAGCCCTGCCTGGTAAATGCAAGGTCCTGAGTTCGATCAATACAAAAAAAAAAAATTAGTTGGGAGTTTTTTATTCAAGTTAGCACAATCAATTAACCAGTTAACTATTACAAACAGGGTCTCTCCCTAAATTAGCTATTTGACGCCCATCTGCATCAGCCTCCCAGAGTGCTAGGATTGTAGGCATGTCCCACCACACCTAGCTTTGTCTTCTTGTCTGAAGTTGAACATGTGTGGCTACTTTTCCTCATTCTTTTGTACTATTTCAAAGTAACTCTTAGTTATAAAGAGATGAAATAACTGTTGAGAGTATCAGTGTGTAGCCCAGCATATCTTTGTGTCGAGCTTTTGTTTCTGAGAGGAAATGAGATAGATACCTGACTATCACTATGTTAGTCAATAACTAAGCCTGTTCTTGAAGGGGAGGAATGATACTTCACTGCCCCTTTAAATGGCTAGCACTCCTTAAGTTACTTGTTTCAGATGAGGCCCTACAAAGAAACGAGGACCCACCATAATTGTCGAGTCGCTTTGATTCCCTCCATTTGGGTGAACTAGCATAAACCGTACTCATTATAATGTATAAATTTCCACCCACAGGAAATTCTGTCTGCCATTGCTTTTAACATTGCATGTGTGACCTCACACTGAGCATGCTTGGGAGTGTGCCTGCCACAGGTGAAGCCTGAAAATGGCCCTTCGCCTAATCCCTACTTCCTTTCTGCTCCATAGACTAGATAGTTAAACAAGACAAGTCTATTTGACTAAAACTGTGGACCCTGGATGGCACAGCCCAGGAGACAGTTACATAATGTGTATCTTTGTTCCTTTTCTGAACATACCCTGATCAGGAGATAATCATTTCAGCCTAGGCCATGTGGGCCACATGGAACTAATTACCCCACCTTCCTACACTATAAATAGCGCCAGGTGCTCTTAAAAAATGGATGCCAGGAGGCCTTTAGCTCATCGGGCTATAGTTTCACCTGGCCCTAGCTTTCAGTCTTAGTCTTGGCATGTATCTTTCTTGTTGTTCTTCACTTTTCTTCATCTCCCACTGCTCTCCCCTGCTTCAGACCCTACGCTGTGCTGTGTGGGTTGCAGCATGTGCCTGCCTCTACATGTGATGACAAGTATTTCTGCTTTGAAAGTGGAGAAGTTTCCCTAACACAAGCCCATGGCCTTTTCCCTTTGATGAGAAGCATTACTTTGGAAATTACCCCCAGTGCTCTGCTTCCTTTCCATAATAAATTTTCTTCACTCCTGTATTTCCTGGTTGTGCTTAATGGCTTTGCACTCACCTTCGTGTCTGCCCTCACCAAGGGCATCTATACTGTGTTGGTTACAATAAGGTACCTCAGAGAAGAGAATCTTGGAAATTTTTCTCAGATAGGACTCAGAATTTGTACCATTTTATGTCTTTGTGAGCCCATATCAAATTCTTTTTCAGTCATTGTCATTCTCTCTCTGTCTTGGCCTTGTAATCATTTTGTTGGGAAGTTTAAGTGTAATTGCTCTATGCAACGTAGATGTAACATTATTAACAATGAATATTTGTTTGGTCAGACTGGAGAAGAGGCCAATGATGTGTGTTAGCCCTGCTGTACACTAGCCAAAACACTGAATCTGTGGGTAAATTTTGCTTGCTAACTATGATGAGCAAGTGGAAGGTAGACAGGCATGTTGCTTGAGAATAAAGTGGTTTCAGACTTTCAGTGTCTCCTCTTGGTATAAGGATGGGCTGGTGTTTTCTTTTAGACTATGAGGACTAAGTTTCCAGGTCACGGTGGGCTCCATGCCCCTTACCCAGAATAAAATAAATGCAAAAGTTCCTTTCTAAAAAATTCCATTCTATATAACAGTTTCCATTCTATGCCTCGGTTCCTCTTTTAGGACATCTCCACCCTGCTTCTATTTCTCTTTATAAAATAAGCTTCTTTTTATGTAATTCAGTTAATATAGAAATTAAGT